TTTTCTATGTGAAACATAATACACGTAAATGGACTTACGTAGAAGAATACACCACATATAAGTCGAAAAATTTTCTTTCTCTTTTACGTATTCAAAAGGATCTCATGAGTTGCTGATTTCGTGATTTCATGAGATTTCACCGATTGCAATCACTTGAAATCGATGAAATCTCAGGATCTCACTGAGTTCACATCACGAAGAGAAATATTCAGTAAAAATTACGGAACTCACAATTCACTCACCGATTCAGATAAAAATTACGGAACACTCGGAAAAAATTCCATAACAATTCCGTAAAATTTCCTACAACCACATTTCGCTCAGGAATTACGGAAAAGATACGTAATTTTTATTGAATATTTCTCCCCGTGTTGATTTCACAAATGAATGGCCCCTCGGTCGAAGAATATTTTTGTCACAGCGTTCGTGAACGGATTTCAGTGAAGTCATGTTTTTTTGGATTAGGATCACTAAAAAAAAGAAGAAAGTCTCACTTCTCCGTCCCCAGCCGCAGAGAATAATTTCGATATCCCTCGTATTTCGGTCGCCATGACGATAAAACGTCCCCAGGAGGATAGAACCGAGCTTTTCCTCTTCTCCTTTCTACAACTAAGCCCGATACACTTTCATTGCTTGGAAATTTACGAGAACCCTTCCGGGCAGGACGTGCGACCGACCGCGCCCCCTATAAATGTAGCTTCCAAACTGGCGAAATGACTTTGTCTCTATCCGTGCTCCTACACGAAACGAGATTGAAAAAGAAAACAATGGATTTAAAAACTAAGGAGACCCATCAGTGGAGTGCACACACGCACGGAAAATGTAGAAAAGGGTGACCCCCTTTTCGTGATGACAGCCTGTCTGAACTTCTGCGTTACGCATAACTGGGTCAAATCCATGTGACGGGTTTTCCAGTGGGTATAAAAATAAATGAGGAAGAAAGTATTAATATTTCAGCTGAGAAATTATATGTGAATATCGGGGAACTCTGGGGCTGCAATGGATCACGCTGATCACGCGACATCGCTCGAATTTGAGAAAGAATTCTCTAATTATTAATTAAAAGATGAAGAAATGTACATTTCAGTCTCAAATGATGTGAAAAATGATTGCAATGTAGAAAATTCGCATCGTAGGGCCCTGTTAAATGTAAACAAATGCTTTCTTCAGACAATTGAAGACTTTATTGGTTAGAAATGTGGAATCATTGTTTACATGACGAAGAAAAAGAATTTATTGATGTGTAATAATTCTTTGTAATGATTCTTTGAATCAAATAAATTGTGTATTTACTTCTAATGAATGCCCTATTGATTCCACACAATTGAAGCTTTATTATTTAAATAAATATATAAATGTCGAACAAAAATATTGTAGAATTTAATAGGAAAATTTCAAATAAAGAGTTTAATTTGGTGAATTTTTTTAAAGAGTTTGAGCCTCAAGCTTCTTGAGTTTAAGCCGGTAAATATATTCTTGAATTTTCAGGACAGTGACACTAAATGCGATTTAGGGGGAAAAAAATCATGAAATTTCAGATTTCACTGGAAATTCAATGGAATTCGACACTGAATATTCATATTAGATTGGAAGTTCAGATCAATTAAGGAATTCTCGTATTTATGCCCCTTAAAAATCTGGAATTTTACTGAATTTTCAGTGAGACTAGACATTTCATGAAATTTTTTTCCCTAAATTCAATGTCCCTGCCCTGAAAATTGGTAGTCCACTGTCCATGAAATTTCATTTTTTTCCAACAGTGTAGGGACAGTCGAAAACCCTTCTACTATGTTACCATAGTATCTCTCCTACCACCATGCTAATATATACTACTATTTATATACTATTTAACCCTCGAGTGGTTGCACCTCTCCACCAAACGTATCTGGTCGCGCTCCCATTTTGAGAAAAAAAATTTAAAAAATGACGTATTTATGATTAAACGAGTAACTTTGAACTTCCAACTAACAGCTAATATCAGCATAAAACGAGAAACGTGAAAACATTATTCAAAAATTGATTTCCATTCGGTGCGAAAATTTGACATTTAGAGGTTAAACACAGAGATTTTGACCGAGTCGAATTTTTGAGGATTTTTAATTTTTGATCGGTGCAGAGATGCACAGAACAAAAATTGTTTAAATGTTTGACATGGTGGAAAGTAGGAATTCCAATTTTTTCCGATTTTTTCTCAACAACGTTTCAACGTAAAAAATAAAAATCGAGACAGAACGGGGCTCACGCCATGACGCGACCGACGGAGGGTTAATCTCTCCATGTGGGATTCTGCGCACGCGTCAGGTGCATAAAACTCCACTTTAGGCACAAGTGCTGAAAACGCGCTTTGCGGCGCTCCCTCGCACGTTAACCAATTTAGGATTGACGATAGCAATGCCTCAATTAAAAAACAAAGAATGACATCACTCACCAGAATTCGTCCAGTGGTAGTCTGCCCGGATATGAGTTCACCGGCCCAGTCCTTAGCCTCTGTCATAAAAGTCCCCTCAAACTCCTTGCCCTGTCGGGCGGCTTTTTGCTCCTTCTGCTTCGGATCATTGGGAGCAAATTCAGGCTCTTTTCGACACCAGAGAAAGGCGAATGCACGCCACAGCAGTACGATAAGGAGTCCAGCGAGAAATGTGAATATACTTGATAATAGGAAGCACCACCATTTTCGTTCAGAGAGGCAGTCGTCTACCGGAGGCCGCTCGGTCGACCCGTCGCATTCCGTCGTCATTCCGGCAGATCTCTGCCCCCCGGGTCACACATTCACCGGCCCCTCCGACCAGCCACACGCAGTAGACGTTTGATTCGATGATGCTTCATAATTTGTATCAACAGCCCAGCCCGAAATATTACACCTTATTCCATTCAATTGTAATCATCAACTATTTGTTTTGATTTTCACCACAAAACAAACTCAATCAAAATAAACAATCCACTAGTTATTATCAACTCGTCGTCGGATAATTCTCTTCCTCGTCACACAACACCTCACTATCAATAAAATATACCGTTTATTTCAATTAATCACCTGAAATTTCAACGGCAGAGTGCGACATTAGGATAAATGTTACATGGAACACATACACAAGTATTATATACACATAACCGAGTGAAGTGAGGACCCCGCTTGCGCTTTCCACGTCTAGCGTTGACCCGGAAGTCACACGGTTGCGCGAGTCGCCTCCTGACAGGCGAGAAGCCCTCAAAATTTCAGATTAGACGATAAAAATTGGACTCCAGTAGGATAAAAGCCCCATTCATCAGCGCTGAATTATCAAACAGCCAAAGCTCTCACCCTCAGCCCTCAGCCCTCAAAATGTACCTGACGTACTCAATTCTCCCCCATCCGATTGAATTTTCCAATTTTAATGCGAAAATTACTGTTAGAAGATAAAAACTTTAAGTATCTCGTGACAATCCGCACTGGCCTTCGCGCGTGGCGAAGGAGGTCGCCCGTACGAACGGGGACGAGGAAACCCTCCACTAGAATTTTCACCAACACAATCCACACATTCACTCTACAACACCACCTCTCCGCACTCCTTTATCCATCCACCTTTTAGTACAAACCATTCCCCCTTTATCCTCTTGTAGTTTTCTCCTACTCCAGTTTTACCACCACCACTGGGGGGGGGGCTCTCCCCCACGGCAACAAGGGTTTATTGTCGCGAGTGGGGTTACCTAGCTCGCCCACTGGTTCACTGGTGGATTTCAACTCCCCTCTCACCGAGGACCTCGGGGCGAATTTAATTTCAAATTGTCAATCGGCTGAGTAAACAAATGTTAAATCGCCGTTTTTTCCTTCACTCAATTTTCTTCATCCACTCGCAATCATCGAGGGGCTTGCACTCGGGGCTCAGGCGATGATTGATATTTTCTTTTAGAGCTTTAATGTCTTCTATCGTTCACTCATCCATGCCATCGCGAAACGCGCGGGTACAAACCAACGATACGAAACGAGTGGTAACACTACCCTCTGGATAAAAAGTTTTTTCACGTACACTAACACAGTCTGTGGCAATCAATACGCAACAATGGTACTGCCACCAATAAGCTCGGAGCTTTTCGTGACGTAGGGGCTTGATGCGCGCCCTCTCGAATAATTCACGTGCAACCCCACATGCTTTGACATTTTCAATTCTATTGTTTTGGTGTTTTGGGGGGAATTTGGGGGGTTAAGGGGCTCAGCTGGGCGCTTTTTGGGGTTTGGTATCGGTGACCTTGGGATTTTTCGAGGGATTTGTCGGTGGGAAATTTTTTTTCCGGGGCTTTTTGAGTTTATCGGGGGGTTGGGACACCCCTGAATCACCGAGGACACTCGAGTCACTCCGAGAGGGGCTTCGGTACGCGCCGGCGTTTGAGCTTTCTGTCACCTGCGCGTGCACAACATCCCGTTGTCTGAGGTGAACTACTGGGGTCTGAGAATTTTTTTTTCCACCACTGGGACTTATTCGGGGTAAATTTTCAATTATTTCTTCGGCATTATTTCGTCGTGACGTGCACTATTGACTTTTAAAGAAGATATTTCTCGTGATACTTGTGGTTTTTATTTTTTAATTGACTAAAAATGTTCGATACTCGATTCTCTGTTAAAGACACCGGGGATTGATGGAATATTTGTTTATTTCTAGACGAATTATTCACTTTTTTGGCTGGAAAAACACACTCGGGCTCTGCTCGGGGATTTATTGTTCATTCTTAGTTTTTTTTAAAGAGGTTGAAGTGATATATTTTTTTATTGAAGGTTAATGGAACTATCCAGAATGTCGATGAAATCCTCGAGGACGAACGATCGCACATGGACTACTAACGATAAACGAATGCACGGGTCTAGTATTTAGAATTTTGAATGGATGCAGTGCGCATGGACAGACGGCGCTCGACGCAAGCGTCAGAATTGCCGCAACGTTACGGCAGTAGTTCAATACTCATCTCAAAGATGGCGGTGGAAAAATGATGAATTTTCATTTTTCGTCGATAAAGCAGGAAAAAAAATTGAGGGAAAACAAATAATAGAGTTGTTGTTTTCACTGTTGAACTTGGGATTTCCGGGGGTTTTTGTTGTTTATAATTAATTGTGGGAAGTGGGTCTGAGTCATGACGGACGAGAAGATCGTCAGGTGAGTGGGGAAGTATTGGAGAATGGAGGAATTATCTGAGGACCAGTTTTTAGGCCATTGTGGCCACTTGGGGGAGGTTATGTACATTTATTTATTTCAATAATTGTTTGATAACGATTTTTGGGGTAATTCTTGTTTAGCTCCACTGAGAAAGTAGAATCAACGGAGAGCAATTCGAGTAAAGAGAATCAGAGTGCTAATGCCGATGATGAGAAGGAGAAAACTAAGGGGGAAGAGAACGGCGAAAAGGGTAATTGTAGGGGTGCTTCCAATGGGGATGCTAGCAATTGTTATTGGTAAGTCAAATAATCGTATGTAATACCACAAGAGCTTCAACATTATCACTTATTTCCCGATAGGTTCGTTGCAAGCAAATGAAGGAGTCAAGTTTTTCAGGTTAAAAAACCACGAGTGCGAAGCACGATTATTGGTGTTATGAAAGCTTCTTCCAGGGCGTTTTGCGCTTAAGAGGGACACACGGCTTTTATCAAGTACCACAAGTACTTGATAGGAAATTTCAGCAATTTTTTTCAGTTTCTTTCTGTCAAAAAATCTAGGCGTGAAACACGATGAAATTCTCATTTTTCAATAACATTCTTTTTTATTTAACAGAAGGAATTGAGTGATTTCAAATTCCATACGCTTGATTTTGCGGTTATATCGAATACACAAAACAAATTTCGCATCCCATATACTTTCCAAGAACAAGAAATCTCTATTCACCTCTTTTTGTGTTTTGATCTCTATTGTAGAGGGTACATTATCGTAACATTCAACTAAATATCTCTGTAAATACCAAGCTGAAGGGCTTCGGAGGATGGCCAGTCGCAAACCCCTTGCGGCAAATCACGTTAAAAATTAACAAAAATGAAAAATTGTAGGACTAGACGAGCTTTAACGTGCCAAAAAATCTAAAAATGCCAATTTCCCACCCACGTACCCTCAATCATTATCGACCCTTTGTACAAAATTGACGGACGAGAAGATCGTCAGGTGGAAGTATTGGAGAATGGAGGAATTATCTGAGGACCAGAAATCTCTATTCACCTCTTTTTGTTTTGATCTCTATTGTATAGGGTACATTATCGTAACATTCAACTAAATATCTCTGTAAATACCAAGCTGAAGGCCTACGGAGGATGGCCAGTCCCAAACCCCTTGCGGCAAATCACGTTAAAAATTAACAAAAATGAAAAATTGTAGGTCTAGACGAGCTTTAACGTGCCAAAAAATCTAAAAATGCGAATTTCCCACCCACGTACCTTCAATCATTATCGACCCTTTGTACAAAATTCTAAAATTCCCATCACAATTATTCCAGTGGGAAGGACAGGAACCTCAATATCGCAGAATTATTATGCGCCAGTTGTTCGAGATGGTTTCATGAGTCATGCATTGGTTATCAGTTAGGCAAATTAGTTCCATTCATGATGAATTACATATTCATGTGTAAGAATTGTTCTCCAACTGGTCTCGAGAGTTTCAAGAAGAATCAAGCTCGTGAGTACCTTCCTTGAATCCTCTACTTAATCATTCCGTACATATGTGCGAAATATATCTATAATTTGCCTGTACGGTTCGCTCTCCAATGAATAAATGACAATTACGATTATTCCTATTTGCTGAAGAAATACGAATTGATGACTTTGTATTCACGCTTTAGAATTTCCACAAATGTGCGTCACAGCGATAGCTAACCTTCTCCAAATAGCTCAGAAGGATCCAGAGCAGCGAATGCTGTTCAATAAAGACCGAGATATCATTCCATTTATCGAGTTACACTGGGAAAGTATGACGACAATGCCCAGGAGAGTTACACAATCTTGGCATGCAACAGTGAGTTTAGTTTTCCAATTTAAGGATGTCCAAATATCTTTAAATTTTGTGTGGAACACCCTGTCAATTTAGAGATTTCCAATCATCGAATTCGTCACTTCAAATTTTTTTTCGCATGAATAAACCAATGGAAACTGTTTAGAATTTTTGGCTGAAATTTCAGAAACACTTATTGGAAGTTTTCCTCAGGCTACGGTTTCACAAAGCTAATGGAAACTAAATTTTAATTCAATGATTCCATGGAAATCAATAGAAATCAGGAAAATTCATATAAATATAATTCATATAATGTATAGCTCATTTTAATTTTTTTTATGATTTCCAAATGCTCCCCTGCAGGTTTAAAATGGAAAAAGAAATTTAGACTTTGAGAATTCAAATAATGAAATCATTGCGAAATGTTCGGCATCCAAGGGTCAATTACTATTTTTTCAAATGATTTCAACGAAAAAAGGCCAAAGTAGTCGCCTATCCTCAACTCATTCATCACGTCATCACTCATGAAACCTCCAAAATTATTATCAGATCCACAGAGCATTGTTGAAGGACGTTGGAACTCTCTTCACGATGGATGAGAACAATACCGATGGACAGTTGTTCGGGCTAACAACGCCAGACCTTGTGCTCATTAAACCCAATTATGAGGCTATGATCAAAGGTGGACATTTGAAGATAACTGAGATGGGAGTGCAACATGTCGGTGAGTTCATTATAATGCTTTCCAAAGTAACTCCACATAACTCTTTAATGACTTAGGATTTACGGAATAAACTGTGAAAAACTTGGATTTAATTTCGAGAGAAACTTCTTTCGACTTCAATTTCGAAATAACTTTTTTATTCTAGTTCATTTTCCCCCCGATGTCCCCCAATTTTTCGGATCAATTGAATGAAGGAAATTGAGAAGCATGAAATATTCTATAATGCGAGGGGCCATTCATTTGTGAAATCGCGCTGTCACTCAGGACTGAAATCGTATGAAATCATGAAATCAGCAACTCCTGAGACCCTTTCGAATACATAAAAGAGAAAGAAACTTTTTCGACTTATATGTGGTGTATTATTCTACGTACGCCCGTTTACATGTACTATTTTTCACATAGAAAAAAAAAACAAATCGGTGAAAACAAAAAATTTGCTATGAAGAAAATAAATTGACAGTTTTATTAAGGATTGAAACGCCTGAATTTTATTCTCTTCATGATTTCATCAGGAGGATGTTTTGTCAAAGTCAGAGATGATTTTTGTGTCAATTATTATTTTATGCCTCACAATGAATGAAGTGGCAAAATTATCAATTTTAATGCATCAATTAAAACAGGATGGCAGAAATTTTTGGATAATTTCGTGCAGTACATCGCGAACAGCTCGCTTATCTTATCAGTTATCACAGTTACAAAGAAAAAAACATTCATACGAAGAACGGAAATCGATTTGTTTCATTTAATCGTGATGTTAAACTACAGTAATGAAGTTTGATGAAACATTTGTTGATTTTTTTTCCTTCAATTATTTGTTGATTAATTGTTTATGAATGAGTGATTTTCTATAATAACTGCTTATTTATTTATTTGACAGTACCGTTGGGCTCAGGGCTCAGAGGACGAAATGCTAAGCGCAAACTCCCGGGGGAGGGCACAGGGACTGGTCCAGGGAAGAAGGGACGAGGATCTGATCTATCCACTCCAAAATTACCAGCTCATGGATATCCACTAGAGCATCCGTTCAATAAGGATGGGTACAGGTATATTCTGGCTGAACCCGACCCACATGCTCCATTCAGACAGGTGAATAATTTCATAAAGAATTGAACATTAACTAACAGTTTGAGAAACTATTATGTCAAAAAAATTTATTCACAGAAGTCATGAATTTCTAACGTTCTTAATTGTTTTTACATCCTCATAATGTAAAATATATCACAATTTCCATTGACTGGAGTTTACATCACGCAGGAGTCCCTAGAAATTATGAGTGTGCAGTCAAACAAGCGGATAATGGCATTTCTTATGACTGAGTATAGTTATTGTTGCTAATAAAGTAGCAATTTGCTTCCGTCTGGATTCTCTTTTTCTTAATTATTGTTTCACAATTTTCTTCTATTTATTCATGTCATAGTACTATCATCAATTGAAATATCATCAAAATTTTGCGTGTTATTTCATCCTGTCAAATAATTCTACATTTGACAGAACGAATTGATCAAGGTTTAATCAAGGTTTAATCAGTGTATAGCCGGGATTTGATCAGGGTTTATTCCGGATTTAGCCAGAGTTCAAGCAAGGTTCTGTCAGAAGTCAGTCGAGACCATGAACCAATATGAATAAGTATTCAACATAATAGACTGGTATCTGAGTTTAATAGAGATAGAGATTTTTATATAAAAATCTCATGACGGTATTGTGCAACTTGATAAGCAATGATGCTGTTCCCACCATTTTTCAACTCTATTAAGAAGGCGTTGAAATATAATTTTCAAGCCCTGGTTTAATTGATATTACTGACGATTCTTTCAGTAATCGAAAAAAAAAACGATTTTCTCTTTCAAATCGCATAAAAAATGTGCAGTAACTCAACAACGAATAGTGCGACCTCCACCATATTCTGATAGAATCAAGAGGGTATTGTTATAAATTTCTTAAACCATGACTGATTCCGTTTCGCTGCCAATTTTTTGAATGATCGTTGAAAAATGGATTTTTGTGGAAGAATATCTTAATTCCTTGGAATTCCATTAAATTCACTTCCCATCCAATTCAATTAAAGTAGAAAAGCATTTCACTGGAGAAAAAAACAGCCAAAGTACTTGGATATCCTTATTCCTTGGAATTCGATTAACAGAAGCCATGTTATTCTCCAATTATTATTCCTAGGAATTCGATGAAAGTAGTGATTGGGCAGGCAAACCGATCCCCGGGTGGTTGTACCGAGCCCTGAGTCCGAGCACAGTCCTCCTAGCCCTTCACGATCGAGCACCTCAGATGAAGGTAGCAGAGGATCGACTGGCCGTGACTGGGGACAAGGGCTACTGCATGGTGAGGGCGACCCACAGTGTCTCCAGAGGGACTTGGTACTGGGAGGCGACCATCGAGGAAATGCCAGAGGGTTCAGCAACTAGACTTGGCTGGGGACAGGACTACGCGAACCTCCAGGCTCCCCTGGGATACGATAAATTCGGGTATTCCTGGAGGTCCAGGAAAGGCACGAGATTCCATGAGAGCAGGGGGAAACACTACAGCAATGGCTATGGCGAGGGTGACACTCTAGGGTTCCTCATTATTCTGCCAGACACCTATGACTCCTCGCATATTCCTAATACTTATAAAGATCGTGTAAGTATCAGACACGCAAATGCGTCAAATGACCCGTCATATGACGGTCACATGAGGACAGATCTGGCCACTATTTTATTAAAATCAAATAGAAATACTACTTGAAATATATATTTCAAGTTGACAAGTTGACTATTTCGGTCGATCAAATAGTATTTATTTACACATTTTTTTGAAATTGAAATAAAATAGTTATTTGATATTTCATTTCAACGAAACGGAAAATGAAATAGCACTTACTATTTCATGTTACTATTTCACTATTTTATTTTATATGAAATAGTTTTTTCTTGAGAAAAATTAACAAATGTGAAATAATCTGAACTTCCTAACAATTAATGACTTGATGGGTTTTTCTCAGCCTCTAGTTAAATTCAAATCCCACCTCTACTACGAAGAGAAAGATCAAGTTCCTGAAGCACTGAAGACACTGAAGTCCCTTCCAGGAAGTAAAATATTATTCTATAAGAATGGAGTATCTCAGGGTGAAGCTTTCGTTGATATGTACAGGGGTGGCTACTACCCAACTATTTCCATTCATAAAAGTGCAACAGTTTCAGTAAACTTCGGGCCTAATTTCAAATTCCCACCGCAAGACGTTACCTTCCGAGGGGTGAGTATTGACAAAAATGTGAATGCGCTTTTGATTAAATTCTGATTCAAATAATTTCTGTATTCAGATGTGCGACAAAGCGGAGGAAGCAATGGCCGAGCAGTCAATGGCAGACATGCTCTACCTCAATGAGAACGAGGGAAAACTCAGACTGGACACGTACTCTTTATGACATTAATGAAAATTTTTATTTCAATTTTTCATTGAGTTCTGCATTAACTTAAAATCAATGTCATTAAAAAATTGTGATTACAACTGTTCTTGAAGTTACGTAAATCATTGTGGATGATAATTGTATTCGTGATCCTCGTAGATTTTGCAGTTTTAGTAAACGAGTATTGAACTGGATGATAAATGATGATCTGCAGAAGTTTTAATTGTTTCCTAGGATTACTTATTCATTTACCAAATCCTCCTCTGCATGCCGGACTGGGAGAGACTGTCTGACTGCTCTGTTCCCACTGGGCTGGTGTTTTCGCCTGTCATAAAAATAACTTTACATGTTTCGCCTGGGGAATAGAGTAGTTATTACTTACTACAATTGATAAGGCATGCACTCCATTCTCCAATTCGTGCTGGAGCAATTCGTTGACCATTCGATGTCTCTTCAAAACAAAAATAAAGTTATAGGAATTACATGAATTTTACATTTTTTAGAGAATGAATGAAATATTCTTCCACATTTTCTCTAGACCTGTTAGGATGGAATTTTGAAAGTTCTTTATGTTAATGAAATAGATAATAATAAATTAACATAAGAAATTCAAGAAAATTGAATTGACCGTTTTTCATCAGTTGACAACAGAAATTATTTTTAAATAGTATTTATTTGACTCCAACTATTTAAATACTATTTTATTTGCGATGTTCAGTAACTCCAAAATAGTAATTAGTCATAAATATTTGAAATAGTATTTCAAGAAGTAATTTATGCCTTAAAAATATTGATATTTGGGATTTAGAGATAACAAATCGTTACACTTTGCCTCGCTAAATTCCTCTGCTAAATCTAGAAAAAAAAAATTCAATAATTACTTTTATGAGAGGTTGGTCACTGAACTGCTCTGACACCACGACGACTTTAAAATGCGTCTCCGAGCCCTCGGGAACATTGTGCATATACGACTCATTGAATATTTCTAAAAACGATGGGCTCAGGCCCTTTTCCAGTTTCACCCTGATGGAATTCTCAATGGGCTTGTCAACTCCAGTCATCTTGGTTAGCGTTCTTAGAATAAGCGGAATGCCTGGAATAAGTTATGACGGAGACATTTTCAAATGAGATCACAACATGCGGCAATATTTTGACGAATATAACCTAGATTCGAAGATGTGTGAACTTACTTCGATTCGGAAATTTATTCATTGATTGTCGCTCGAGAGAATATATTCATTGAATTGTAAAGTATCGTTGAATGAGATGATTTTCGGTGTCAAATGGGGAATATTCACATGCAACAAGACTCAGAATTATTGAAACTTTTCCGCGATGGGTTGTCGTTAGGTTAGCGACCTACAGATGTTCCCTAGTGGAAGAACATAAGGTGGAGGCGTAACATGCCTGATCAGAATTTCGGATCGGACTTGATCAGTTTCTGATCGAGACCTGAACAGAATTTCCACTCGGGTTGGCCCGAGGTGAAAAAAAAATTTTTCATTTTTGACTTTTTCAAAATACTCTTGAGAGTTCTGAATAGCCCGTCGCGTGAATCATCGGAATCAACGTTCCCTCGACGAAAAAATTCGATTTTTCCGAAATTCGACTTTCCCGCTGAAAAAATCCAAAGTTTGACACTTTGGCCCCAGATAAAAAAAAATTGTTTTTCATTTCTACATTTCTGGAACCTCCGAGTGTTTCATTACGTTTGTTCGTCGTTTGTTCGTTCGGAAAACACTGCCATCATTTTCAATAATTGCAATCTATTTTCTCAGAGGTGCTATATGAGGGGCTATAGCCTGTCCCACGCCTGAGTCACTGAGCCTCGCCAAACTCAGGCTCATACAAGCTTGTTCCCATCGTCAGCCTATATAATTCCTACCTAAATTGATGAACTTTTGAATATTAACACACAAAAAATGTGAAAAAACAGCATTTGAATTTTTACTATTTTTCCATCAACCACTTTTTGACGGTAATGAGATGTGTTAATTCAAATTGCTTCTTTGCTTCCGTACATTTGTTTCATCCTATCTACCAATCAATTTATTTTAAGAATTTTTATATTTGGGACTGATATTCAAACGTGCACTTAGTGCTACGGCCTTGTTCGCGCGCTCGCTACTCATCCCCTTCCACGTGGAATGTTCGGCCCCCATAGGTAGTGGGGATAAGATTGCGAGTCAGAGGGTTAAAGTACTTTTCTTATTGCATTTCCTTTGGTCCTGAGTCTGAATGGATGAATAAATGCTGCAGGCAGGGAGAAATTTTTTTTTGTTACAAAATTTTTATCGATGAACTTAAACTCCTAATTTCTAATCATTTAGATACTATCCTAGAGATCAATATACAGATGAGGAGAATATAAGAAGAGATATTCCTCTGGATTAACAATGTCACTCATCGTAGCAATCTATCATGAAGTTCAAGGAGCGCTTCGGTCATCCTCTCTCGGTAATTTTGTCTCCCGTGAAACTGTCCCAATACCAAAGGCCTCCTGTCATCGAAAAGAAGAGAATCTATGTTCTCACTCTCTCCTTCGAATAAATTGCCAATCGCCTGCGCCTCCAGCAACATCAAGGGAGTGTTTAAAACGCCATGCAGCATGCAGAAGGTTCGGAGTTCTTCGATTGAATCGAGAAAAACTTTCAGAGGGAATATCCTTTCTGGGTCCAGACCAGCATCGGTCAATGTCTTCGATAAATGGTCATGGTAGATTTTGAAGAGTTCTGGCCCATGTTTTTCTCGGAGTTGTCTCGTTGTTGAGAATTGGAAGAAACAGAGAATGTCGTGGGCTGGGGGATTATACCTGTAATTTTTATGAATTATCAATTTTTTCCTCTGACTAGTCTGACGGAGCACTTTCGCGCGCTTTTGTCTGACGTGGGAATAGACGAGGAAGGCGACAGGCTTTCGAGATATTTGTGAGACCCAACTTTCGAGACATGACGTCACGAGATGTTTGCCTTTTACATAAGGATTCTAATAGGTTTAAGCATGATTGAAACAAAACGATGCTCATCAATGATCGAAGTTAACATCCCTAATACTTTTTCGGGCTGATGATATGAGAGGAATTGCGCGCGATGGATTAATGAACTAGAAAAAAAACAGTACATATATATCACATGAGAAATCGTCCGTTACCTTGCTAACTGAAAATCAATCAAACAGCAAGCATCAGGTGTCCCCCCCTCGCCATACTTGAACAAGAGATTATTAGCCCAGAGATCTCCATGACAAAGAACATTCTTCAACTTCTTAGAAGGTCCGAGCCTCTCCACATGACTCTCCGCCATACTGACGATCCTCTCCTTGAACTTGATCTTCTCAGTGTCACCAAGGCTATCCAATAAATCAATCATAGCGAGGGCTCCGCCGACAGCAGCTTGCAATCCCCGGTGACCCCTTCCTTTGAAAGAATACAGAGTCTCGTGCATGCAATGCGGGAACTCCTCGAGCAAATTCTTCTCGGACAACTCCTCAAAAATCATTGATTTCGCGTGAAATTTCGCGAGTGTCGTCAGGACAATCTTGCAGTGATCAAAATCAAAAGGATCGAGTTTATTCTTCATGGTGTACCCCTCCGCCATCATGTCCTCGAGGACAATGACGTCCCCGTCGAGACCAAAGAAGTACTCTGGAATACTGTACTGGTCCAAACCCCTCAATACTTCAGGAAAAAGTTCTGTGTACAACGCAACTTCCTTTTTGAAGGACCCGAACTCTTGATTGACCTCCCCCTGCGGACTGTCCTCCGGAGGCGGAATCTTCGTGAAAAAATTGATGATCCTGGTGTCGGGAGGTGAATCTGCAGAAGAAACGGTCGCTTTCAGGGTGAAGTACTGTCCCATGAACCCGGTGGAGCCGTCCATAGGGACCAGCTCGTACTCCACGAGGGAATAATCCTCCATTTTTTCCTTCAACAGTTTCTTTCTCACTATTTCCAGACACTCCGCTTCGTCCAGTACACTATCCTTATTTCGATTCCTCATGTTGTCTCGACGATGGCTATTGCCCTCTGATGATAAGAGAACTCGTAAAACTGGAACTACCAATTCAGGAGGGAAAATTTAATCGCACTTACGTGTCTCAACTCGTTGGACAAAAGAATGAGAATTCGTACGTCTCAAACAGAAAAGTGTTTCCTGAAAAATGTTGAACATTGTTCAAGCCCGATATCGAGCGGCAATTGTTGAATTTGTTGCATGAATTACTCTACTCACATGAATAACCCATCCGCCAACAAACTACTCTATCTAATGATGCCAGTCGAAGTTGGGGTGATGCCAAAAAATTCAAATTTATATTTCCCCAGATATTTGCCCAGGTGACACTCTAATGCGCGTTGATGCACTAGCGATAAGATGCAGACTCAAACTAATCTTCAGTGTTAACATGAATTTATAGTACTGCTCAAACATTTAGTCACGTGCATTGAAAATAGAATTAATTAGGTTTTTACCAGCCGCAGCGGTTTGCTATTTCCTCCTTTATTGGTACTGATTGATGCTAATATTGGACGTGATTCGCGGGTTTACTGCACGTCCATTGAGGATGAATGATGGAGTTTCTCGGTTGCAATGAAACAGGCAAATGATTTATGTTTGTTGATATCATTGGAATTTTCATTGTTTGGGAATTAAGGAGGCAGCAGAACGTTTGATTTAAACATTTTTATCGTCAAAATAGGTGCCTACGTAACTCCGACTTAAGTCCGACTTGACTTACAAATCCTACGGAAAGAAAAGCTCGAGATAAGAATTTTCTGTAACAAATTTGTCATTTATTCTTTATAAATAGAAATTACAATCACTAGTTCACTTGATAGTCTCAGCACTTGTCTTCGTGGCTCTTTCCATTGCTGTATGTTGGATCGAAGGAAAAAACTGTCGGTCGTTGGGGAAACAGCACCGCGTTATCCTTGAAAATGAAACATGTGCTCGATAAACTTGACGCGTGGAAAACTTACGCAATGCTAGAACTATTCGCGACGATTAAATTCATGATTCAAGTTCAATGCTGTGTGACTGTTGACACAGTGGTTCAACTTGGTCTCATCATATGAGAGTTATGGGCGTTATTATTATACTCACCAATTGATTTATCTCAGCATCTTTTTCTGTTACGAATGCGGTATTTGCGTAGCCGAAGTCGGGATTTTCTTCGATGCCGATTAGATCGGAATCACCACTTCGACGGCTGAAAGAGGAAATTAGAAGAAATTTTCACCAGTAATAATGGATGGATCAATGACGGTGCTCCGGCGGAGATCCAAGCTGAGCAGCGTTCAGCGTGGTTAGTACTTGGATGGGTGACCGCTTAGGAACACCATTCCATAAAGTGCAATAAAATATCTGAGTCTAATATGAAATAACATGTGATCTATGCTGTATTCACGCCTTGCGTATTTCGTTCACGTGAACCCGCCTAAACGCGAGGAGCTAGTCACTTACGAAATCATTGGACCACTCGACTGGAAATACAGGAAGAAATCACCCTCGATCACTCACTCAATGAGCGCGGCGCCGCCCGTTTCCGATTTTTTTATATTTTAGCGTGTTTCTTGACGCTTAAAAATTCTGAAAAAATTAGAGTTCCTAATTCAATCCTTTTATTCAGCGTTGGCGTTGTCCATTTTTTTATCGGGTAATTTGTTTAGCTAAAAAAGGAAAGAAACATCGAACGGACAGAAAAGCGGCGCCGCGCCACTTGCGAGTGAGTCCCTGTCGACCCCGCGAGCGGCAGTGTTGCTGCATTCACTGTTACCCTTGAAATGCGCGCATAGCGGTAAGCGCCAAGATGACAACAGCGCGCTCGGTTTAACCCAGCGACGCGGCGCTAACCGTGCGACGGATGAAGACTGGCGGCCGAGCGCGAGTGATCGAGGGTTAAATAAATTACAGTTATACAAAAGTGTTTTCTGCATTCTTCCTCCTCGCCTGAATATATTGCAGTCTAACATTTAATTATTCCTCGGCCTGCCCATCACATGTCTCAGCAGGGGTTAATTTCACGACATAAATAAGACAAGTTTACCTGACATTGTCATCGAAATCCTCAGACTTCTTCGAAACATTCCAAATAGGATTCGACCCGGCTGTAGCAAACTGATTAGTCGTAGGAACCACCCCATTCTTCTCCTTTCCAATCTCATCCTCCCCGGTCTTCCAATCCACCGCCATTTTATCCAGTCTCTGCGTCAAATTCCTCGTCCTGAGGATGTAAATCACAAAAACAGCGATGGTACTGAAGCCGAAAATAATGGTCAACGATAGGAGAGTCCAGTAAGCCCTGTCCTCATTGTCTGAATCCTCGGGGGAGCTTCCAGTGGGCACATCGCTCAGATAAAGCCCTCTGGCTTGAAGATTGGCTTTCAGATTAGTGACCGTCTGGAGATCACTTGACGCTAAAATAATGGCGTCGGCATCTATAGGGAGATTGTCTTTGGAGTTGATGAAATGCGTCGTCAAAGTCGTCATATTATCCATCACATGATTGTTAGCATCGACACTGCTCTTGATATCATCGACATTGCAGATGTACCCGAAAGTCCTCGAAAATATGTCAATAATGAACAGTTTCTCCGCACTCACGAAAGCCGCGTTGTTCCTCAATGTGAAGACGACTCTATTACTCTTGGAGATGATGTATATTTGGACGGTTGTTTTGTCAGAATGATCGGCTGTATCATGAGCGGCAATATCTAATTTGAAGAATCCGGCCATGTTGCTGGTGGCTGAAAACTTCAGCAGAACATCTCCTTGTGAGGTATCCAAGGAGAACGGATTCGTCACACTAGCAATCGATGAGTCTGATGTCGTTAAGCTGCCTTCCATCAGTGCATACCTCACCGTGTCATTCAGATCAACATCTGTAGCTTCGACAGTCAAAATGACTTTATCAAGAACATCTTCAACAGCAACTCCACCTGAGTAGAAGTGGCTTTTGAATACAGGAGCATTATCATTCTCATCCAGAACGAAGACTGTGATATTGAGGACAGCTTCAGGTCGAGGATCGCGAGGAGGTCCGTCACTATCTGCTGTCGTGATCACTAATATGTTCATCTTCGCCTGCTTCTCACGATCCAACTCTTGTGCTACTGTTAGATTCCTCGTGGATTTGTCCAGAGCGAAATACTTGAAGTCCCCGGCTTTATTGTCGATGAAGTAGTAAGTCGGTACAATGTTGGATCCATCATCGCCAATGTTATCGACGGCTTCGGGAATGATTGTCCAGAAGTCCAGACCAGTCTTATTCTCCTTGATCCAAACATCCCAGTCATTTTCTTTAAATTCCGGTCCCCTGGCCGAAACGAAGATGATCGTGTGCTCCTGAGAGACTTCTCGCGGTGGATCTCCATTATCCTTGGCTGTCAGAGTTATCATGTATCGACTATTCTGTTCAACATCAGTCGGCCATTGCTTCAATTGCAGCTGAGCGGAATTCTTCCCAGCCTCGATAATTTCGAAGTAATCATCTCCAGTTGGACTTGATACTGAAAATACTACAGTTCCGCTGGCGCCAAAATCATCATCAGTGGCGTTGAAATCCGGCAATGGTTGCTTGTCATAAGTCTTCAGCTTTGTGTGGAGGGTCTGGTCCAGGCTGAGGGGAATACGCGTTCCCCTAGCTGGGAACTCAATTACAGGGTCATTGTAGTTGTAATCAGTAACTTTGATGTGGTAGATTCTCGTGTCGTTCAAGGGTCCTGGGAAGGTTCCATGATCCTGGGCGTATACTTCAACCTTCCACGTGCCATAGCAGCCTTTCAGGTCACGAGCAGCTGAGATAATCGCGCTCTTTAACTCCTCAGTTTCCATGCTGAATAAGTTCCCACAGTTCTTTTGAACTTCGCTATTTCCGTCTACTAGCGAATTGCTCAGAATTTTGTAAGACACTTTGGTGTTGTCTGTAGCAGGATCGTCTTTATCGTCTGCTGTAATCTTTAGAATCCTCGTGTTCTGCTTCTCATTCTCGTTGACCTCCTTCGCAGGATCCCCAAGGTTCGGCAACTTTGGAATTTGGTCGTTTATGTCATCCAGAATCACTGTGATCTCCTTGTCAATCGCATTTGTATTCCACGTGATCCCAGTCTGAAGATAATTATCCCTCAGTTTTAGGTTCAATGTGTACCTAGGCTCTCCAAAATCGCGATCCAAAATATGATTATCAGTCAAGTGAACTCGAAGGACTCCGTCAAATCTACTTAGCTCGAAATACTGGAAAAGCGCGGGATAATTCTCGTTAATCAGGTACGATACATTATTGTAAGGACTCGTCCGATCACCATCTGACCCGTAGATAGTCACAATTTCCGTTCCACTTGCGGATTTCTCTAGAATGTGAATCGTAGAATTGAATTTATCGTTAAGGAGATAAGGAACTTCATCGTTCATGTCGATGACGTATATCGGAAGCGTAAGAGTCGTATTGTTTTCGCCATCAGATGCAATGACTTCGTAGTAAATGTATTCGTATTTCTCTGCATCAATTGTTTCATTAGATTTCACTCTGATGGTGCCAGTTTTTTGGTCGATGCTGATAAGATCGTCCTCAGTATTATTGACAGCTTTGATGGAGTAAGAAATCTTATTGAACTCGGGTCCGTCAGCATCAGTAGCAGTCACGGTACCAATCAGAATATCAGTAATCGCATTTTCAGTTACTCTGAGCGCTTCAACTTCATTGAAAACAGGCGCGTTATCATTGATGTCTATAATTTTCAGCGTCAATGAAGCGGACGTTGAGTTATCGTTGTGAACAGTTTTAATATCTGTCACGATGATATTCAAGAAGATTACATCGAATGCTTCGTAATCAATTCTCCCTTTAATAACGATCCTTCCTTCTGCTGAACGATGATGTCCTTCAGGGTAAGATGCTGCTATCGCCAAGCGATCTCGGTAGAGGCTCTCATTTACCGGAACTCCATTTTTCTGAGCTGTCGTCTTGTCCCAATCGATGCTAAATACCAGATCTGCATCGGTGTCTACGTCGCTCGCTTCAATGATTGCTTCAACGACTGTTCCTACAGGCTTTTCTTCGATCAACGATGCAATCTCCTTCGGCAAGACGAGCTTCGGAGGCACGTCGTTAACGTCAATCACCTTGATCGTCAATGTTGCATAGACTTTATGCTTCACAAGATCTGAAGCCATCACTTGGACAACAACAATTGGCATCGTCTCGTAATCCAAGGCATCGTCGATTGCTGTTGAAATTGCTCCAGTGGTTTCGTTGATAGCCAAACCTTTCTGAGAGATCAATTCGTGGGTGACGCGGTCATCGACATCCCTGTCTGTAGCTAGCATGGTCGTTATTGGATGTCCCCTCGGCACATCCTCAAGTACTTCGACCTCGACAGAATCGTTCTCGAAAATCGGATACTCATCGTTCCAGTTAGTTAAGTTGATGGTGACGGTCCTCCTGCCGATGTGCGTCCTGTTGGCAACTTCTACAGCTTTGATTTCGATCTCCATGTTCCTCCACTTCTCGTCCTCATAATCCAGTAATGAAGCGTTCAGAACTGAAATCGTGAAGGTTCCTGATTGGTATCCGCTGGTTGGGACGACCACGAAAGCTGAGCTCCACTTATGCTCTGAATGATCAGTCAGGCTGACTGAGTATTGGCCATTTTCAGCGAGATCTGGATCAGTGATGATGATGGATTCGGGGAAATCTAAGGTCATGTACGTCGCCTCTTTGATGGCTATCGTCAGCTCTTGGGGGGTTATCACGGGGCTGTGATCGTTCACATCTTCGACGATAATCACTATCGTACCTTCAACCTTCGAGGTGATGTTCTCTTTCTCATAAGCAATGATGGAAAATCTGAAGACCTCTTTCTTCAAGGTGTCGCGATCTATGGGATTGATCGTGATCTTTCCTGTTTTCGTCTCGACTGAGAATAGATCTCTCTCTTCTTGCTGTTCAGGCTCTATTTTGTAGTTTATCTCGGCGTTTATCTGAATGTCTCCGTCAATCGCTGAGACCGCGAAGGTGTGAAGGGTCTTCTCGACTATCGATTGCGACGCTGTTAGACTGCTCCACACGGGGGGCATGTCCGGCATGTCAATCACTTGAACTACATTTAATAAAGTCCCTTCGTTTTTCCCACTATCTGTAGCCTTGACTTGCAGCGTGTACGTTGTAATCTTCTCGAAATCTAAAGGCTCAATCACGTCTAAATGAACTTTCATCTCATAATTGTTGCTGGGAATGAGTTCACGGGTGAATTCGAAATTTTCTGATCCCGATTCCGGCGTTGAGGTGAAAGTGATTACCGTTTGGTCTATCCAACCGTCAGCATCGCTGATGCGGAAGGAGCAGTTTGACCTGCCTGAAAAATTTTCTTCGATCGCACATGTTCGCTCAACTGCCTGGATCACCGGAGGATTGTCATCAATATTTATTATGTTCAGGGCAACATCGTTACGGTCAGTTCCAACAACAACTTCGAATCTGTATTGCCGCATTGCTGGAGTCTCGTAGTCCTGCTTCTTCGTAATGTACAGGTCCCATTTTTTAGTGGCTTCATTCTTTCTGAACTCTGCGCCAAGAATGAAACTTTGGCCGGTTGAAAATGAACCGAGTTGAGGCTCTGTTGAATCTGTAGATTTATACAAGAGTGAGAAATCGTTCCCAATTTTCGAGGTTGTCAAATATACGAGAAAGTATAAGAAATTCTAAGAACACCGCTTGGCGTTCAACAAAATGTGCGTATATTATCGTGGACTCGATACAATAGTAATAATGGAGCGTCCGTATGTCCACGCTCGTGTGCGGGTGTTTATAAAAGCATGATTTGTGTCTGTTTTTTAGTGGAAAATTTGGCTTGTCTTCTTTTCATTAGCATCAATACGCACCTTCGTAATTAAGTTGTGCTATACAAACTGCATGTTCGACTTCCTCCTTGAGTTCAATGTTTGTTATTACACTTGAAGAACTCACAAATTTTACGGTATCGTCGATAGGGTCAGGTTTCTCAAAAGGAGGTGAATTCCAGTCTGAAAATGAGAAGATTAGTGAACGAACGCCGCTTGCATCATCCTCATGTACAGTAGATACTCCGTAAATGAGTTCGCTTCTCTAAGATTTCAGTTGGGGAAGGTGACTTCCCCCACCATTAATAATCTAAACGGGTGTAAGTAGTGTGTGGGCTTCTCTGCGCTACAGGAATGCGCAGTAGGACCACTCGCGGGACGGGAGTCTTTCTCAATTAAACCGTCAACGTTTGAGTAGGGGCTTCCCGATCACTTAAGGTATATCCCAAGACAATCGGAACCAAAAGTTAGTCCCTATGGATTAATTATTAGGTATCGCCTCAACGAGGTTATGGCACTCACATGTCAACCGCAAATTAAATTAAAGTAACGAAAGTCGAGCCCAAGACTTAATACAACATTTATCATGCTATTTAATCAAAATGATGTTTAAAAATATGTCTTCATCAAAACCGCAAAAAATATGGTTATGGCACAAATAATTTCCGATTTTGAAATAGAAAAAAGTGATCTCTTAAAAATATTCGTCATTTTCACGCAAAATAAGCCAATCAAAATTTTCACGATCATGAAGCTTCCGTTAAAAGACAACAGTTTTGTAAAAGATAATAGATATTGATTGGAAGGTATGACTCACTCGCTTGCGAACTTGTGATTAAACCTATCAATAAGCAGGGGAATATTAATCCATGTTTGGGCGCAATTGTCATAATGATTTATTCACTTTTGCCTGAAATAATTTTTCCAAAATCTTCCCATGAAAGTGACTATTTTGACGCCCTTTCATCGACTATCACTTCATAACTGATTCCTTCAACGTGAACGATCCATCGATACTGGGCGGTGATAAGCTTCAGGTAAAAACAGACAACTGGCAGATGATAGGAATGATTTTTCTGTGGAATCTTATCTAGAGTGGATTTACTTCCGATATAAATGCCAGGTTCCCAATTCTTCTCAAAGAATTTCATGAATCCTAATTCTAATGAGCACCTTATTTTCTGCTCCACACTGGGAGCTTCTTAATTAGGAGAAAAGGAGACTAAAAGGATCTTATTTTGTGACTTTTCCATTTAGATTAAATAATCTCAATAAATCAATGCAAAAATTTCGTCATCCGGATGGAAAACCATTCGGTCCATTCGACGGACTCGTGTCGTCGTTATCTCGAGACATTTTCAGTCACAAAGTGCGACAATAAATCTAATTATCATGAGACATTACAATGAAGCACAAAAAATAATCGGTTCCAGACTTCAATTTTTTGCATTCACAATCATTGCTTTATTTTGCACAGCAGAAACGAAACGTTTCTTTCCACACACTAAAAAAAATCTATATATTCATAACTATTTTTTCGAAACATTCGAAAAAGCATGGAAATGCCAAGATTTTCGGAAAAACTGAAATTTTGCTTGAAAAAAAGTCGCTAACTTGAACGAAGCACTTGTATATCCTTAATTGTAATCTTTAAAATATGTTAACATAATGCAAGGGGTATGGATGTTTGATCTTAATAATGCTTTCCGTCATGACAGCTTTGTCAAATTTTATCGATTAATCATTTCATTTTTATATTGTATGTAGACTGTAGTTTGATCCAGTAATTGGCCTTGAGCTGTTGGGTCTTTATGAAATAAAATGAAATGAAGTGAAGCTCTGTCAGACAGAGCCTCCATACCATAACACAGCTTCTCCACCGAAGCTGGGTTTATGTTTCACCGTAAAACCGGCTTATATTGCATTTTCCAATTCACAACAAACACCAATCACTTCAATAAATATTTGAAAACAATCATGAAATCGACGTATCACTTTCATTATTTTGTTCTCGATCCTCGTGTCATCCCCTCAAATGTCATAAAGAAATTAATCAACAGCGTCCACTTGAATCGACAAAAAAGCAATGATTAAAAATTTGATGAGTAAAAAAAATTGATGAAAAAACTAGTGACGAGGAAAGAGTATTGGACGTATTAATCAATGGTGCCATAGGTCAAACCAGATGAGATACAGCAGTCAGTCTGTGTCTTGCAGTCGACACAGTGTTCTTCAACGAGACATACAACGTGACTGTCCAGTGGTATTTCAGTGACATAACTCAATTTCAGTGAGAGGGAACCAATACAGTACTCGCGGAGGACTGTATCAGGTAGAGATCATCTTATCGTTGAGATTCGAATTAGGTAACCGTCACCAAACCTGACCAATCGCCGGGTTGCCCCACCACAACCGCATATTCGCCCTTGTTTCTTGCACACGACGCAGTTGAAAAATCTTGAGCTGCGATGTATAATGTACTGGCTTCTGGTGAATTACCAAATAATTTTTTCAACCAACATTTTTCTCCCTTCGTAAATCATTCTGGTGTTTGAGATAATTGTGAGGGTGGGGAGGGGACGTGATAAACTGATTATTCATAATTGGTGATAGAGATTACGAAAAAATAACAAATGAAGGCTTCAGCAATTCAATTTAACTCGACTTTAACTTTTCAACTTTTAATCAAATTTTGAATTTTACAAAAGTTTTATTATTGAAAAATCGATGTTGAAGTGAAATCGACTTATCCCGTTTTATCATTCCATCTCTGAGTTGTGAATACTTTTGCAACATTTTCGTATTTTTATTATTCTCTTTTGTTTGGAATGTGATATCACCAGGGACTTGAACCCCACTTCTTATATGTGTTTTTAAATTCAATCAATCCGCCCGGCTTGTGATTTACTGCAGTGCTGTCAATTTTATTTTGGTCCCCTTGCCAATTGTTATCATCTCACGTTCGATAATCTCGCCTGTTATTCTGCGAATTGAAGTCATTCTTCTGCGGATACGATGCATTATTTTTTATGCAATATTGTTTCATTCAATATTTTTTTTAGTTCTTGAGACGAGGAGGCAAAATGGTTATTTACGCTACTAGGCCCGATAGACCGTGAGAGTTCAAACCCACTTTTCGTGCCTCATACATTTTTCGATGAATGTGTAACATAAAATATTACGTAAAATCTAAAAATACAATTATATCGATGTAGTAACGTAATATGCTATTGTTCATTCTCTATATCTGCAAGATAAATTTCGAAAGGAAATAAAATTTGTCGGGCGCTCTGGCTCAGTGGTAGCCGATTCGATCCCAGCCTGGGGTGATATTTTTCACAAAAATATTCATCAATAACTCTGACATTTCCGCAGTTTTCCCTGGTCAAGGAAGAATATGCGATAAGATAATAGAGACAAGCACATAACAGACAGAAAATAGTGTCCAAAAATATAAGGTCGAGGGACAGGAATAGCAAAAAAAATCTGAAACGGCTGTATCCTTGATATAGCAGGTAGACTTAAAATGGACACGTCCAGGATGTTATTTATGTGCGGGTGCGTCGACGTGTCGAGGTGTTGTTAAAAAGTCAGTCGTCACCTACTTAGATGTGACATTGAGTCTAACTGTTGTATAAAACATTCAGCCGCTTAGGATTTCTTAATTGTTTTTTAATTGTATTTTTAAATTATAATCAGAGAATTTTCTCAAATTCTCTTTAATAAAAAATCCAATGTAACGTTTTTTGAAGCCAATCTATTCCGCCTAACGTGTTCTTTCTTTAGCATTATACTATCATATAATATATTATAATGTATTATATATAATATAGTATATATAGTATGCTATAATATAATTATAAAAATTAAAAAAAAATAATACATTTTTTAAGACTTTTGTTATAATAAACAACAAAAAATAGATTAGTCATAAAATTAAATGAAAGTAAATAACATATAAATACAACAACATATATTATAAATATTATATTATATATCATATAATATAATATAACATATACATACTAAACTACATAAATAGGAAAAAAAATTAAATTTCGGTATTCTAAATTGCAAATATTCAACACTTTTTTTAAAAACAAATAATTCACAATCGTGCCTTAATTCATGATGATTTTGTTTTGGTTTTTTACCTACATGGAATAATTTGAATTTTTCATAACAAAGAAAATCCCTGTTCGACCAGAGCTTAATATTGCCACTTCAACACAAAATGATTTCGAATTTGAATTGAAAATGATAATGTATAGCTGATACTGATTCCCTTGATAATTGAAAAAACGAAAAAACCCGTTCGTACTTCAAGAGATTGGTAAATTTTCTGCCTTTAAAATTTCTTATTTCAAAATCGCAATTGTGAACGTGGATAATCCAAATACCAATGATTCTTATGGAGTGAAAATACTTTGGAAGAACCTAATAGACTTCAACATAATTTCTACCACAATCATATTAAGTTTTCATATCAGTGGAAATCCATCGAAAACATCTATATCTCGGTTCTACCAATTTCTGAGACACTCAAATTTTCGAAAAATGCAAAGAATTCTCTGGAAAATTTGAAAATTTTAGGGGTAACTCCACGAATTTACCTGCATCATGTAATTAAAGACGTCTCCACGTCAAAATGACTGAATCGAAGTTCCTCATAAGAAAGTGGGAGGGAGGACCTGAATTCGAATCCAGAGTTATTGACGACTCAAGACAGCCCCCCTCCCCCAATCCCTAACTTATCGCAGCTGACATAAACAAATAAACCACCGGTCGTGCATCAGTGAAGAATAAAAGAGTGCAAGTATCCAGAGTAAAATCAAATAAAAAGACCTCGACATTAACCATCGAGCCAGAGACACTGAAACCTCGTGACCTTCTTATCTATTCGCGCTCTCCTATTACGTGATAAATTAATTCAGACGAATTTTCTTGAATTTTCCAGCAGTCTCGGTTCCGGAAATGACACGACCACCGCCACTCGTCAGACGGCACTCGGATCTACCGCACTTTGAGTCTGTGGCACGAATTTCGAGTTTACCGCTGATCGAGAGTGGCATGATAATAGCTGGAAATGTTTATGAGAAGATTAAGGTATGTTTCGGGTGGTTGGATTGATCAATTGCGTTGCAGCGATTAAAAAATGATATTACGAAGTGCTAAAACGGTACAAGTCAATTTTGACTATTGGCCAGTTTTCCACGAATATCTCTGAATCTAAGGAAGATAGCAAAATTCTAGTTATGACCTTTTTTGTAGCGCCGATTGAGAGCTACAACAAATGTGATTACGAAAATTTCACTATCTCTCTTAGATTCGGAAATATTCTTGAAAAACTCAACTGGGAGATGAGTCGACTTAAACCGTTTTACCACTTCGCTACTGAATTAATATATCTATATTTATTGCAACGCGACGCAAACGGAGGACGTACGTCGATTGTAGACTCTGACTTGGATTGTGTTACTGTGCGTAAAGATCCATTTTTATCACTGGTACGTAAAGTGAAACTTTACGCAAGCTCCGCGTCCGCGAAATCCCACTTTCCACACGTTGCGATGAAAAATACGGTTCCACATCGTGAGAAAAGTGTTCTTTTACCTTTGGGAGGGCAGCACTCGCCTTCGGCGAGCGATACACACCTACCACGGGTCAAAAACACTTTTACGCACTCGTATCGAAACGAGTAATTTGTGATACCGGCCTGGAATAGTATATTTTGATATGAGTGTGTAATAGTATAGTGTGTTACTAGTGCGTAACATTTCACTTTTGCATAGGCAATGGAGGTAATGGGGTTGATTTTATGCACGAGTGCGTAAAGTTCAAGAGAGTGCATCCACTTTACGGACGCTCGTGAACTTCACGCACGTCGGGCGGAAAACAACTGCTTTACGCACAGTAAACCGTTTCGAAAAGTGAACTTTTGAGGCTGGTATCACAAAAAAGTGTTTTTTGACCCATGGGAGGTGTGTAGCGCTCGCCGAAGGCGTCGCTAGGACACTTTTCCCACGACTATCGACCCTGATTTTTCATCACGATGTGTAGAGAGTAGGGTTTAGCGCACGCGGAGCGTGCGTAAAATTTCACTTTATGCAAAAGTGATGAAAAATAAATTTTTCTGACGAATCTGACGAATTCCGCAGCATTCGCGCATTTTTTTTTTCGTGGAAATGATTGCTAGAAAATTCAATATTCATTCTGTTGGGATTGTTTGAGAAAAGAAAAACGAGAAAAGAAAAAAATGTAGTGAAAAAAAAAATTGGGAAACTTACGCCAAAGCATTTCTGTACAAAATATCTCAGAATAAATTACACAGAAAATCCGAAATGTATAATTTTTTTCTATTGTATATTTCTATCATCTTTTCACCACTGTTTTTTGTTTTAATAATGCAGCGTTCCAATTCACTGATGAATTGGAGTCTTGACACCGCTGAGCAATCTCTCGCGATGGCAACTGCATCCGCCAAACCCGCGATCCTAGTTCTCAATGGTCCAATCACAACTTTGGATAATCTCCTGTGTAAGGGAATGGACATTGTGGAGCAGAGAGTGCCAGCAGTTCATTTACCACCGCAACTCGTGAGTCATAAAGAAAATTAATTTATGCAACTTGGTGATCACATTCATTTGAATACTCTACGGTGAATCGCGTGTATTCAAGTGACCTAAATGCAGTACGAAAATAGTGGAACGATGGAAAATTTTTTCACATTCAATGTTTACATGCCCCGTTTGAATAATTCAGTGGCGAAGCGGAAAAACTGTTGAAGTTGAAAGAAATTTTTTTTGCACGGGGGTAAAAATCATTGTGAATATCTTAGGAGTTGATTTCCATCTAAATTGGCTCTTAAGATTTACAATAATTTTTAGGACCCTCCTAAAAAAGTCGCAAATTTTAACTTAAAGTAGCACTACCCTTCCGATGTGCTGTCATGAATTGTGAACCAGTATATGAACACTGCATTTTCTTTCTCAATCGAAATAACCTTGAGCCGCGAAAAAAATTATTTCTCGGAAGAGTTATTTCTCATCTCCATTGTTTAGTTGTACTGGAACACGCGAGAGTACGTGAATAACAAATTTGTGAGGCCGGTATTGAAGCGTGCCGGAAGCGTCAAGCAAATCGGTAGTCAAGCAGCGGACGCCGCAGCTGATCGACTCGATGGTGCACTCACCGTCGCTGACAAATACGTGGATCAGTATTTACCGGCGGATCCAACCGACACGTCCCAAGAAGGTAATAATACTAAACGAAAACAATAAAATCCTCCATGAAAAAAAAAGGTGAAACATTTTCGGTCAGCAATTGATTTCGCCAAGTTTATGCTAGACTTGGGAAAATTCCAAATTTATCTTAACTTGAAGAACGTCTTTCTTAAGGATTGACGTAAGCTATTTTCGCGCCATTTTTTTATAAGAGTAAATTTTTTTATGGTCAAATGTCATGAAACTTCGGCAAATCGTTCTGCGAACAATTATAAGATGATCGATCTATCGCTCAGCTCTTCGTCATATTGTCGATATCAACTTTTTGTTGAAAGAGTTGAAAAGTTGAGTTGAGCACGTGGGTAAGGGTCCTTTATTTTACCTCCCGTGGTGAGAACGTTATTTTTCGTCACGGCGTAGGCGAAAAGGCAGAAAATGTGTCCTTTCCGCCCGCCGTGGCGGGAAAATATTTCTCATTATAATTTTTTTCAAGACTGGTTTTCGTTAGATGTAAATACTGTATATATGTAAATATTGTTGGACATCAAATAAAAACATTGTTAAATAAGAAAAAAGTAGCGTGTTTGTCTACTGTGCGGGAGATCGCGGGTTCGGCCCCAGCCTTCGGCAGATATTTTTCACGAAAAATATTTGATTTCACGGATTCCGACCGGTAACGAGAAATTCGGGGAGACCGGAGGTTCCCGCAATTGGGGCCCTGAGATGGGACTGAACTGCCATCGACGAGGGGGAGGGGGTATCTCATGTCAGGACTTTCAAGAGGTTTTCCCTCGGATCTGAAATGACAATAGCGTTTATATAGCGATCCACGTCTTCTAATGTCACAAGACATTGTTGGCTAGGATTTTTGTTTACACAAAAATGGTGAAATGAGATTAAAAAGTTAATAAATAAATACATAATTAATAATATGCATCAATTATTTGCCAATTTATGAGCGCGTGAAGGGGAGTTGAAAGAAAATGTGATTTTTGGCGCAGATGCAAATCCAGTACAGACAACCAGTAAAACAGCGCGCACTATAATTCACGGAGCGAGATTTTCGAGGAAATTGCAGAGGAGGCTAACACGTCGCACACTGGCGGAGGCGCGGGCCCTCAAAGATCAGAGCACGGAGTGCATTCACGTGTTGCTTTATGTCGTCGAATTGGTTCGTGTGTTCCTGTTATTTTTGCCATTAGTTTTTTTAATCTGATTCATGGATTTTTTTCTCGTCGGGTTTGTGACGTGGGAGATTCTCCACTACTGATGTTCATGATGCATGTTCATTCGTAGCTATTTTTCCTGACGTTGCCCCGGGAATTATCCTCGCATCTCATTTTTTCTTTGATTTTTTTTTAAAGAAACTCGTTAATACTCTTGAGAACCCGGAAATTTTTTCATTTTCTTAGGGAAAACCCGCGAATAGGCTGGAAACTTACAGGAAGTCTGAGAACTTTCTCAAAAACTTGGGAATGTTCTAGATTTTTCCAGAAAATTGTAGGATTCTCCAGTAAATTTTAGAATCTTTCAGAAGTTTGAACATTTCATACTTTAGCATGTAATATAGCGCGAAATTCTTGTTGTCCATATTTTATTAGAAAAGTCGAAAAATTTCCGGAAAATTTTCTCATAAAAATAGAGAAATCCCCGTAAAACTTTAGAAATTTTCAGAAAAGCCTGGAAATTTCCAAAAAATTCCAAAAATTTTCTGGAAATTCATTAAATTTTTAGTAAATGTGTGCAATTTTCAGAAAAATTTAAAAATTAAAAAAAGTCTGGAAATTTCCAAAACACACGAGAAATTTCCGGAAAATTTGGAAAAATTTCGTCATAAAAATAGAGAATTTTCCGTAAAATTCTAGAAATTCTCTGGAAACGCCTGAAATTTCGAGAACATGTGAGTTATTTTCAAAAAAATGTACAAATAACAAAAAGTCTGGAAATTTCCAGAAAATTGATTAAATTTTTGGAAAATTCCGAAAATTGTTGTCATAAAAATAGAGGAATTTCTGTAAAATTCTAGAAATTCTCTGGAAATCCCTGAAAGTTCCACAACATGTTAGTAGTTTACGAAAAAATCTACAAATAACAAAAAGTCTCGAAATTTCCAGAAAATTCCAGAAATTTCACGAGAAACTTGGAAATTACCTAAAATTTCCAGAAAGTTCTGGCCCTTTCTAAGGTGCATCTGAACGGTCATTTGAAAATCTACGGCTATTTCAAAGTAATCCATCTTAAAATTGATAGATCGCCACAGATCCAAAGATGGCTTTCCAGAAGTCAAAAGAGCTTTGGGCCGCACTAAGCCTCCCAGAGCCTGAGAACCAGGCGCGTCCTGCAACCCTCGAACAACTGCTGGTGCTCTTGACCAGGGAATCCGCCCGCAGGGTCGTCCATCTGGTGAATGGTACGATGACCCTTGCGGCCAAGGCCCCGCGGCGCCTCGGAGTCACACTTATGACGATTTCACATCAATTATTGTCGATAGCGGAAGTCACACTAAAGGTGAAACTCCAATTATGAAAAAGATTATTTTCTCTTTCATGGAAGGAAAGCTAGATTTTAACCAATCACATCTATGCTTGGAATTGGAGTTACTATTTTCATTTAGTAACTATTTTCATTTGTTTTTGCTACAATAATTTTTTTATTCATCTTCTCTTGAAATTCTGGATTTCCCAAATCTTTTCATGATTACCAAAATTTTCACTTGCATCTCCTTAATTCGAAGGTTAAAGTTGAAGAAGTATGAATGATATTGCTGTCAGACTATTTTCAACAATCGTTCATTTTCAACTCAATTCGAAAGACAGTGATCAGAGTTCGAATTGTTGTCAATTTTCCACAAATGGAAAGCATAAAGTTAATTTAGTCAGTATCATTTACGAATGAAGTTCTTATTGCATTCCTCTTTTTTTAGATGACTCCGATAATTGGGAAGAGTGAAAAAACAGACGCCCAGATATCAATTCTACGATCGGCCATAGAGCACCTTAGAGTAACAACGAATTTATTGTTGGTGAGTAAATCATTCTTAATGATTGTTCTCATCTCCAAGATATTAATCAATGTAAGAAAGGTCAGGGGATATTGGAGAAATAATTCCGACGTTGATTGAATCGTCATAGTGCGACGTTTCGTTAAATTATTTTAGCTTCATCAGGCGCTTTGACGGCAATCTACGTCAAACTTTCTATTAATATTAGTGTCGGAACACATAATGTGCGAAAAAATAAACAAACCATGTAAATAAGCAAAAAGTCAGTGAGCAGAAACATAGAATCAACCAAACGCAAGAAGACCAAATCATTCTATAAAATGTGGAACCCTAGTTGGTCACCATAAATTTTTTCGTACGTGTTTCGAAGAATGTTACCATGATTAATCGATGAATTTATTTTCCATTCCCCTAGGAATTAATCGAAATCGATGAATTTATTTTCCATTCCCCTAGGAACGCACTGCAATATTCCTTGCAGGTCGTCCCAAGCCCAAGAAGGTGGCATCCAACCAGGCTCACGATAATCACAACAACCACCTGACCAACGAGGCCAATCGTCCGTCGAATGGAATCGACTAGATGTCCTCAAAAGTTTCTCATCAATATGCGTCTTCGTCAATTCTGGCCAGGTCGATGCCTTATTGAAAACATATTATCTTGATTAATCATGCTTACAAGTGTCTAATAAAGTCTTTCAGCTGCGGATTTCTCACAACAACTCTTGCGGATTTTTCTTTTCTCTCGGATGGAAAAGTAATTGAATTTTGTTAATTCTTTTGCAAAATTACTCGATGTCAAAATTTTATGGTTTGAAATAGAAAATAAATCATTGTCGAAGCTGTGGAATTGAGATGAGTTAATTCGTTAAATCTTCTATCCTTTAAATAATTATATGATAAATAATTCTAAGAAACTGTTGTACTTCAAGAGAAAGTTTTTTTCAGAAATTCGTCAAGTAGAAATAAACACCTCGTGACATTTTCCCTTGGAATCACTTTGTAACCACCCAATTACTCAAAAGTAGATCATTAAGAGGCCTCGGGAGAGAAAACAAAACTATACTACGAAATCTTTGGCTTCCGGATGGATGCCGCGTTGGGATTCAGCGTTGCGCCGACGTTTCGCAAACATTGCAGTCTGCATCTTCAGGGCTATGAGCTCCGATTCGCAACGTTGCCGGAAACTCGCTAAACGCGCCCGGCCAGCGTAGAGTGAAATCGGCAACGCTGAAACCCAAATGACGCGTCGGCGAATTTCCGCGCAGATGACCAAAATTTTTGACAGACAACATCAAGAACAAAATCGTATAGGACCACAGGGTAAAATCTAATGCCTCTCAGACTAATGAGGATGCTGTCTAGACAAAATATAGACGCCGCAGTGAGAACTAATGACATTATCAAAAAGCAGATAAGCACGAAAATATTCCAAATGGAAATGGAACGAAAAAAACCAGAGACATGAAAAAAGTTGCCAATGTCAGTCGTGCAAAGTAACACGAGTGTTGAGTATGTTTAGTTGGACCCTGGCCGATAAGCCGGCTGAGACTCTTTCTGTCGCGTGACTCATGTCAGAAAGGATAGGATTTTTCCAGACGCACTGAAGCCGCAAGCCGCACTCTCTCCCATGTGGTTTTACATGTCCCCTGGTTTTCATTTCTACGAGGCAAAAAATGAGTTATTGGTATTGATTGGTCGATACTAGGTGACTAGATTCAATTCAATTATCGGATTATTTCAGGGGAATGGTGGCAAGTTCGAAATAGCAACAATTTTTTTTTATTTACTCCAATTATGGGGAAGAATAATTCGCGATCAATTAACATGTATATTCTGATAATTATTGAGGAAAATTCAGTTAACTGAAAATTTTGCGTAATTTGGTACTAAATCTTGATGTTTTGATTGAAAAATTCAAGTAATCTAGGTAGAAACGCGGAATTCCATTGAATGTTTAGTGAAATTTCAAGAATTTTGCCCCTAAATTAAATTAACCCTCGATCACTCGCTCAATGAGCGCGGTACCGCCCATTTTCGTTTTTAAATATTTTATTAGCGTATTTTTCAACGCATAAAAATTCTGAAAAAATTAGAGCTCCTAGTTTAACCCTTTTATTAAGCGTTAATGTTGTCCGTTTTTTTTTCTACAGAAATTTGTTTAGCTAAAAAAAGAAAAGAGGCGTCCAACGGACAGAAAAGCGGCGCCGCGCCGCCCGGTGCGAGTGAGTCCCTGTCGGCCCCTCGAGCGACAGCGTTGCTATTTTCACGGCCACACTTGAAATGCGCGCATAGCGATAAGCTCCAAGGTGGCAACAGCGCGCGCAGTTTAACCCCGCGGCGCTGCGCTAACCGTGCGACGGATGAAGGCTGGCGGCCGAGCGCGAGTGATTTAAATGTCATTCTCCTAAAAATTAAACTGAACCTCCACGAAATTTCCATTCTTTCCACCGGTGAAATGAACTTATACAGAAAATTCCGAAATAGCTTTTTTTTCTGTTAAATTCCCTGATTTGTGAAGTCACTACAAATTCTAATTTTTGTCCTCCCATGGCAAAAAAAATTGATCCATAAAAATAGCTGAATCTGCTACTGTCAATTGAAATGATTAATTGCACTTCAATTACTCTACAAAAATTGATAGAAATCAGGAAAATTCAGATAAACATATTCTAAAGTTTGCAATCAAATGAAAATTTTACGTAATTTGGTACTGAATCCTCACGTTTTGATTGAAAATTCAGGTAATCTGGATAGAAACTCAAAATTCCAAAAAAATTTCCAGTGAAATTCCCCGATTTTTTCTCCCCTAAATATAATTAACTGTTACTTTACTGGAAATTAAACTGAACCTCGACTAAATTTAAATTATTTCAGTTCTAACAGTGAATAGAATGTAAAATTCCGAAATGGCGAGATTTTGCTATGAAATTCTTTCATGTGTGGAGTCACCACGAATTATAATTTTTGTCCTCTCATGACGAAAAAAAAAATCCGTAAAAATATCTGCGCCACTGTCGCAATGATGCAGAGACATTTGAAGTTGGACTTTGGATCAGCTTTACGACAGCACTTTCAGTACTTGTACTGTTCTCGCAAACTCCCCCATCGTTTCCATTGGCACATTGTAGAGCCTCACGTCGGCGCAATCCCTTCCCTTCCTCGTGTCAAATAACGCATTACATCGCCGGCTCAGTGTCGCACATTAGTTCCATTCGTTGTGTTAACTTTCGATACGATAGCACCGAGACATCTCTCATCCGGCTGCACTGCATTTCACTATTCCTCGTCTGTTCATCGTAAAAGATTTTGAGATAGCGAGTGATAATTTCGACTGAAGCGAAAAACTCTTCCGTTGGATTTACGTTAAGAAGAACTGTAAGTACTTCGTTTCAGCGTAATTGAATTAATCACTTGCATTACTCGGTAATCGTCTCCACATTTACTTCACCCTCGTATTATCAGACATAATAAATTATGTGGATTATCGTCTCAGTGTAATTCAGAGGGAAGTGGTACGACTGCTCAAATTGACGATTCTTTCATTGATGATTGATTGCAGTCAAAGTTATCGAGTCTTCGATTGTAATCCCTCGTTTCAATAATTTTTTACGACGCCTTCCTCTCGTTATCACGATAATTGCATAAAACAGTCATCTGTTAATTGATCGGATCCAATGATTGACTGGTGAATTATCGAATTTTTGAAGCGATCACACGCGAAAAAATTCGCACGAGAAAGATTTAACGAATTCGATAAAAAATTGTATTCAGTAGCGAAGCGGTAAAACGGTTCAAGTAGATTTATCTCACTGAGTTTTCGAGGAATATCTTCGAATCTAAGGAACATAGCGAAATTTTCATTACGAACTTTTTTGTAGAGCGAGGTGAGGGCTACAAAAAAGGTCATGACAAAAAGTTTGCTGTCTCCCTTAGATTTTGAGATATTCATTGAAAACTGGCCAATAGTTAAAATCGACTTGTACCGGTTTACCGCTTCGCTATTGCATTAATTTTTGGCCCATTTTATTGATGAATATCGCAGCTGCGCGTTTTTCCTATTGAAAATATTCAATAGAAACTATTTTAGAGAAATGAACAGTAGAATTTCATCTTTTCGTACAATTTTTCTATTGACACATTCTCTGTAGAATTTCGTCGACATAATTTTTTTAAATTGAACAAAAAATTTGAAAAAATTGTATAGGAAAATCAGATTCATTGATTTTTTCTATAGAATACTTTCCATTGAACATTTCCATTAAAAAAGGCGACAATTTTCAAGCGAATTCTCTCGATTATTCATAGAATTTTTTCGTGCGTGACGTTAAGATTTCGTTTTTGATTGATTTTCTGGTATTGGGACTCGCATGAAGAGAAAGATCGTCTATACATAGAAAGGTTTGTTTTGAATCGGATATCGATTTTCCCTGGGGTGAATGTAAACAAACTGTAATTATCCAGGGTATTGAGAATTCCTGAAATGATAGGAAACAGGTGAAAGTGTTGAAATTTCTCTCGGCTGTTCATGTAACGTGAAAACGTTATCCATCGCTCAAGGATCATTCAACTCTGCTGTTATTCATCGTTCTGAGTTTGCAGACTCGATTTCTCCTGATCAAAGGGAGAGATGAACCCAGAGAAATGAGGCATACGAATCAAATAAAAATATTTATTCAAATTTTTTTTATTCATTCACATTATACATCATTTTCGTTTGGTTTTAATAAATTTATGGGTTTGCTTCAATGAAAATGTTTTAACTACATGGAATTAATGAATTATTCACTTCATATAACTAAAATAATCTCAATAATGATCGTTTTTAATATTTAAATAATCTGGAATTAATAAATTATTAATTTCTTATAATAAAAATAGTAATAAATCCTTCATTAGAATTCAATAAACGATTTATTTGATTCGAATAAACCATTTCGATCTCTGAGTGTAACTCAACCATTGAAAATGAGAAATTATAAAATTATTGAAGATGATTTCCACTAACACAATTGATTTCATCCAATTTCATTGATTCTTCATTTATTTTCATTGATTTTTACCTCAGGAAAAGTTGTCTCTCCATCAAAAACGGAAAAAATGGCAGCAGCTCAGGTATCATTTCCGCAGATTGAGGTGTTCAATCGTGTACTCGGATTACCGGTTGTGGAGCAAGCAATAGCTGTATCAGCGTCGACTTATTCACGCGTTAAAGACTCGAATCAGCTTCTTCACTGGGTACTATCAACAGCTGAAAATTCAATTAGCGATGCTACGAGACGGGCAGCGCCCTTTGCAGCTCCAATTGCCATGAAGTTCGAGACACCAATTCACTTTGTTGATGATAAATTGTGCAGGGGTCTCGAGAAAATACAGGAGAAGGTGCCGATTGTCAATGAGACCCCCGAACATGTGAGTTCATATCATGAACATATACTTGAATATATCATTTTTCTCCCTATGAAATCTTCAGAAAGGGTCACTTGAATATTATGTCACACGTTCTTTTCAAATTTTTATCTGTTGTATTTAGAGCCATTTATGGGGAGCCATTTTTGGTGAAAATTTCAGATTTAAAAAAATTAGCTTTTTGGGTAATTGACGATTAAACAAAACGTTTTCTCGTATAAACTCCGTCGAATTGAAGGTGCTTACGGTGCGACCAACGGCACTCGTACCTTTACCGTGTCCAACCGAGTCTTAAACTACACATTTTCTGAACTTTTTTTTTCACTGCACTATTTTCATTGCAATGCTCTTTTTTTACCCATTTTCCTTTCAATTCGCCTCAATTTCAATTTTTTAAAAACTTTTTTCCATAAAAGAGGAATAATAAAAGTCCTGATTAAATCCATTGCTATATAAGAATCAGTGAATTCCCCTGATTGATTCCACATGAATTGAAGCAACGAACCGAGTAATAAGCACACGTGAAGCGTAAATAGCCCTAGCCGATGAGTAATAATTGATAAGAAACAAAAATATTTTGTTGTGACGAGAAGATTGCGGAGACCTCCATCAAGCGTGATAATATTTTCGGCGGGCATCGCCAGATAGGCTAATTATAGCACTAATTGGAAATAATTGGAAATTAATTGCCGGCCAAGGGGACGTTCCTGAATTGTTTAATTGCTGCATTATATTCCCATGCCGGCATATTCTACTCATCTCTTCTTTCAATGCTAATACTCTTCACATCAATCTCAAAAATTAAAACGAATGCAAATCGAAATTCGAATTATAGTTTTAGAATGTTTAATAGTCTAATATAATAAGTCAACTTTTCACGTCTCGTTTAATGTAAAATTAATACGTTAATTAATTTTACTTCTAATTTAATTAATTAATTAATCGTTAAATGTGAAAGTAAACATTCTCTTGAAATCAATCATTTCTGACATAAATTATCGATAGCAAATGCTCGAGAATTCACATAGAAAATTCTATTTGAGTTCTATTGAACTTCTGTTGGAAATTCCATTAGTTTTTAGATTCCACTGCGCATCTTTTTTGCAGAAGATTTCCGACAAAAACTATTTTATTATAGAGAAAATTAGTAGAATTGCTTCTTTCTATACTTTTTTTCTATTAAGAATAATTTATAGGAATTCCATGACATGAATTCTGAGAGTTTTCGTTCCATTTTCTTCCTTTTTCATTAAAAAAATTAAAAACAAAAAACAGATAAATATAGCCGGGTGGAATTTATATAGTAAACACTTAAATAGATTAAGATTTACATAGAAAAATCGAAATTTGACATCATCCGGCTGGATCTGCAAAATTTTTTCATTCGTCTGTTACGAAGAGAATTACCAGTTTAAAAGTAACACGTATGGAAAAATTTCACAAAAAAACCTCGACAATTCGATAGAAAATTCTATTAGCTTCCCGTCGATTCTAATTTTCTAATTCGACTCGAGTCTAATTATCTCGTAATTTAAAAAAGCTGCAATTTTTTAATTATTCCATCAATCTTCCACGAAAAGAAAACCTTCCAATTTTTTTTCAGATTTAAAAATGTTCTCTAACGGTTTAATATCGAGATTCCAATTCCGACCTGCAAAGGTTAAATAATAAAATCATTGTAAATGTCCGGAAATTTAGGGTCAAATGGGGCTCAAATGAAAGCTCAAATGAAATACTCGACTACAAAAGTGAAAAAGCATTTCACTGGAGAAAAAAGAGCCAAAGTACTGGGATATCCTTAAATTCATAGATTCTTAAATTCAACCTTCCAGATATTGGAGAAAGGCTATATGTTCGCCTTACAAACAGTGCAGCCAGCGGTGTCGAGGATCTCATACGCCAATGCCCTGATAATCTCCCAGGCAAACTCCCTCAAAGAATTGAGCTGGAACAAAGCTAATCAAATATTGGGTAGTTACTACGGCACAGTAGCAGTCCATCGACTGGACAGTACTGCATCGGTAGTGGATAAACTCATCGACAGATACTTTCCACCGACTGGAGCGGAGATCGTCGAAGGTTAGTGACTCCTAATTAACCCCTCATCCCTAAATACCTCACGAATTATTTTTCCCTCTCTAAAACGAGAGAAGTCATTAGCGAAGAACTGAAACGTTTGAAATCGACTTGACGAATTATCACGTTTTCGCAAAAGGAGTGATGGTCAGCATCTCAACAAATTAAATAGACGATTACGACTGGATTATCATAAATTCCACGGAGTTTGTGATAATTTTTGACAGGCCTCGAGAGCGAAGAAAAAACTTTGAACCTTTGAAATTTTTTTGAATTTTTCCGGTTAGCCACTCAATTCTAATTAAAGAAAAATGGCGGGCGGCGGAGGTTGACCACGATGAAAATTGAGTTGTGTTCATACTACTCTAACTGTTTCACTTCTCCCGTCCTGGAAATCGTCATGAAGAAGCTAATTGAGCCTTACTAATCACAAAGCCCACGTCAGCCGAGGAGGATGCCCCCCTCAACGTCCCTTTCCTGTATTAATGAGAGATAAAAAAATCTGAAGGATAATTGAAAAAATTTGTTCCTCCTTTAAGAACTGGGTGAAATAAGTTGAATTTGATCCGAAGAGGATAAAGAATTTTGAGAAATGTTCAAAAGTACGAGGCGGTTGACAGGTGCCGCCATCTTGCTTGAATACTCAAAGAGCTTGAAAGATGGCGGCGGCCCCACCTCGCATTTTTAAACATTCCTAAAAATTATTTATCCTCTTCAAATCATCGTCCGCTCACTCCATTCGGTTTCTATAAACAGAACAAATTTTTAAAGCCACTGTTCAGATTTTTCCATCTCCTTTTGCCTGAAAATTCACGGCGCAAAGTTTTCTATAACCGTTTTAATTCTCCTGTCCTGGAAATTGTCATGAAGACCCTAATTGAGCCTTCCTAATCACAGAGCCCGCGTCAGCCGAGGAGGATGCCCTCCTCCACACCCTCCAGACAGTTGGAAGACTGTCGAATAAAGCGGCACGTCGAGTCTACGGCAACGTTGTCTACAATCTTCGTACCATTAACAAAGACAAAGTGAGAACATACATCAACAATGTTGTCGAATTTCTGCAAATTGCCCGGTACCTCCACGCTGTGAACGAGAAAGTGCATCAGTTCACTACTCCCATGAAGGATTCATCCCAGAAGAAATTGTCAGAGTCCAACGGCCACGCCAAGGGCGACTAGAGACACCCTTCCATTCATCGACAAGAAAGATTCATTTTTACTATGAAAAGGAATCATGTGATGAAAGTTATCATTGTTTCATACTTTTATAGTTCTGTTTGTACGTTATGTATAGTTCATATCAATTCAAATTGTAAATTGGAGGAAAACAGAAAAAGATTAGTCACTCTTTTCTGAAAATTGTTATGAGAATTTGTTGTGAAAATTGATTATTGATTTGAAAAATTGTTTGTTGATGTTTAGTATTGCCTCGTACGAGATCAATTAATACAATTGTAAATTGAAAAAAATGAAAAAAGACTAATCACTCTTTTTTTAAAGATGGTCGTGATTTTTTTTGAAAATTGATCATTGATTTGGGAAATTGACTGTTCGATTCTAACGCATGCGTTCACCTAGATGTTTAGTATTATTTTGTATGAGATTGTAAATTAATAATAAAGATATACTGATGTCATAATCCGGTTTACGTAATTCTAATCTATGAGAGCATTCGATGAAGAAGATTTTTTGAGATTATTTCCTACTGACGACTAAATTTTCACTGTAGGCACTACACTTTTCCTTCTAAAAGCAGTTTTTTAAATTTCAATTATGAGGTGTTCACATAAATTCAATGTGCAGTGAAGCACTTATTTTTAAAATATCAAGCTTCACCAGCACTTAGCATTGCCCAGAGTTCGCGACAGTCACCACCTTCAAGTTATTTACCTAACTGAGTCCGACTCAATTTTCTTATTGATTTCAATTTCTTTTTGTAATAAATGACGAATTAATTCAGTTTTCTCAAAAAATTCGTTGGAGCAGATATATACTCTAATTACCGAAGAGCATTTGCCATAATCTCCAATAGAGATCTCCGTAACTAGAATTCCCCGTACAACTCCTCTAAAATCATTGTCGAGTTTCAATAAAAAAGCAATAGAATTTTTTAAAAAAAGCGATATATTTTTCCATTAATTTTTGAATACGTCTATTCCCTCACGAAAAAATTTAATAGAAAAACCTATCGAATTCGTTAGAAAATTCTATTGAATTTCTATTAAACTTTCTATTAGTTTTTGGCTGATTCTATTAACACGTTCAATATAAAACATTCAATAGAAAAAGTCAACAGAATTCGATTTTTCTATATAACTTATTCTTTCATATATTTTCTATAGAATTTGCTCGACTCAAATTTCCTAAGTTTTTTTCATTCTATTTTTCTTTTCTTCTCATCAAGAAAATCGAACGAAAAAACTTAGAAAACTTGAGCCAAGGAAATTCTATAGAAAATATCTCAATAGAATAAGTTATATAGAAAAATTGAATTCTATTGACTTGTTCTACTGAATATTTTCTATTGAACATTTCAATAGAATCGGCCAAAAACTAATAGATCAGTTCAATAGAAATTCAATAGAATTTTCTAACAAATTCGATTGGTTTTTCTATTAAATGTTTTCGTCCGTGTTCTCAGTTGATGACTCATCCCTTCCGTGAAAACAAAAATCCACTTAATCATGATCAATTAATCATCAACATTTCATCATTCCCATCGAAATGGCGGTATCATTGAGACGATGATTAAGCCGCGAGTCCAAGCGAGACGTGTCTCTCCTAGAAAAGTAAAACCGGGATTGAAATGACGAAGTTTCGACCAAGCTTGACCCCCACATCACATCGAAATCACGTGTCTGCGCACACTCCAGCTGCGTCGTTTTATTCTAGAAAATTTCCCATCTTGAAATTCAAATTTCACCATCAGAAACCGGATTTTTAATCCATAAATTTTCATTGTACATATTCGGACACTCGTAGCATCGAAATTTTTCTCAGTCCAGAGACATTCCGTGTGAAGATTCTAGTAGTTATTTTCAATAAATAAGAATTAGATGCGTTTGTTCATTCACGGGGTACGGGCCTGGGCAGAATCCCCTCCTTCCATATGAGCTCGTCGGTTGCTACGTAATACACCGACCATAGAATTACAGTAACTTCGCACGAGTCGTGGCTTATACATATCAGTCTACCGGCTTTCAGTACGAATCAACTGTCAATACAGTAAAGTAAGTATTTCTCAAAATCCCAGATATCCCAAAAATTATCAACCGCTGAAATTCCCATATTCCCGAAAATAAACTAAAAATATTTTCAATTCCTCTGAAACAGAAGACTGATGAAATAAATAAAAAAGACGCCCGTTATTTGTCATCCAGACATTCAAATAAAATTTTTTCGTAATTTCAAAAATTCGTCCGTTACATTTATTTTTGTCAATGGGAATTCAACTCGAAGGCAATTTCAGCCGCAATTTCGATCAGATAATAAAACAGTCATGAGTAGCCTTCCACGTCGCGTCCAAAGTCCAAGCACTGCAATCCATAAATTGACTTTTTTTCAATTTTTAAACAGTTGAGAGGGTATTTTCACCAGAATTGAAAAAATGGCAGAGCAAGTACCGAGTCCTACCAAGGATGGACCCCATTTGGAGGTATTGAATCGAGTCAAGAATATTCCAGTGGTCAGTACAGCTATCGAAAAAACTGGTTCAACGTATTCGTACGTCAAGGGCTCCCATCATCTCGTAAATTGGGCATTGAATCAGGCTGAGGCAGGAATAAACTACGCGGCAGCCACTGCTGCACCCATCGCAGCCCCAATAGCTAAGAAATTTGAGGGACAAATTAATACCGTCGATCAGAAATTGTGCCATGGCCTCGATATTGTCGAGCAAAAAGTTCCGATGGTCAAACAACCACCGCAGGAAGTGAGTAATGAAGGAAATACTATTTTTTTTTTCATTAGCAATTCGGTAGCGAATTAGGTTGACCAAATTTCCATCGGTATTATTTTTTTCGCGCGGATTCACCTTCGAATTCTATTGGGGGTTATCAGAATTTGACGTTTTTAACTGCCGTATCAAGGACACAGTTGCTTAGGATTTTTTCAATTGCGTCGTTTAACACAATTTCAATTCTTTAGAAAATCTGCAAATGCTCTACACGGAGAGAAATATTCAGTAAAAAATACGGAACAATTCAGTTAATCCGCAATGGGGAATCGTTTTCCGGCGATTTTTATAGGAATCAAAGAGAAGAAATCTGAAACGTTCAGTGAATTCTCAGGTTCATCACCGAAAAAATTACGAAATTGTCACGTAATTTTTGCCGATGAAGTAAAATTTTATAGAAACTTTCCGACTTATTATGCCTCCAAAATAAAAAATTCTTGAACGTTCAACAATTTTTATGAAGCTGGTGAATTATTTCTACGTTCCGTTCCATAAAATTTTCCAATCGTTGGGAAAAAATTACGGAACGACTTGTTGTCCCCACACTCGTGAGTCATCAGACAAGTGGTTAATCTTTACATTTTTACGAAACAACTCGTAGAATTTACGTGGCGATTCGTACAATTTCAGTTCTGACTCACACTTTTTATTGAATTTTACTTCGCTCGTGGATTACGCTTCGAAACGTAATTTGTACGCTTTTTTCTGGTAATTTTTAATAATCTCGGGCTGCGCGCTCGGGATTTTAATCTGCAAAACTGATCCCTCTCGTTGCTATGCAACAAAATATTCGGGAAGTATCCGATAATTTTGAAGGTCTCGGGGTATTACAGCTGAAAATATCTGAAGAGAATAAGTTACACAGAAAAATCAAATTCTGTTGAATATTTTCTATTGCGCATTTTAATAGAATTGGCCAAAAACTAATAAAAAGTTCAGTAGAAATCCAATGGAATTTTCCAACGAATTCGCTAGGTTTTTCTATGAAATTTACTCGTGTGCGCATCCTTAGATTCCCCTGAATCGAATTTTCTACAGTCGAATCCTTCGCTAGTTTCACTTCCGTCAATATAACAAGTTATGTCCAACGGAAAGACTCGTTAATAAAATAATACTGGACTGTAAACGTTATCACCGCGAGTCATGGACAAACACACTGAAGTACAGGCGCCTATTGCGTCAGACCTTTGAACGCATCAATAACAAAGATTAAAAGAATAATTCGGATTCACGTCAGATGTCCCGTAAACCCCAAAAATTGCGTGAGATATGCTAAATTCAGATGGCAGTAGTTTCTCTTCTTGAATTTTGTTAAATAAAATAAAATCGACCTGTGAATTTTTCCACGCATGACAACCCAGATGCTCCGTCGACTCGAACCTGTTTTCGCTACTGACTTGCTGAATATCGAATCGATTACAATTCCTCATGGATCTCAACTCCATTTTCGAATGGAGTCGGAGGTCACTCCCGCGGAACTCACTGTACCAAGCTCATAATAAGGACTGATTACAGATTTACGAGGCTGCGAGGAACGTGATGAGCACTTCTCTTCAACCCACAATTGAGAAAATCACGGCTGTTAAGGAATCAGCAACTCACCAAGCTTCCACTGTTAAAGAAATTAGTATTAACAAGGCAAATGAGATTCTCAACACTCACTACGGAGCACTGGCCGTTCAGGGTATTGACAACACTAGTGCACTTGTTAACAGACTTTTGGATCACTATTTTCCGCCTGTAGTGGGCGAAGAGGCTGCACCAGGTGATTTTTTCGATATTTTATTATTTGATTTGGAGTCTTGATTTGACGGGAGACTTTTAATTAAGAGACCTCGGGAGTAAGAGAAAACTTCTGAAATACGGGGAAAACTTTGTCTACGAGTTCTCAGCCAAAAGGAGGTGAGAAGATCTGAAAGACAGCTTGAAAAATTCGTTCCTTCCCTAGGAACTGGATCTAACGAGTTGAAGGAGGCAAAGCGTCCAAGAAATGTCGTCTCATAGGAATTAGAACACGTATGAAAAAATTTAATAGAAAACATTAGCGAATTCGCTAGAAAATTCTATTGAACTTCTCTGGAAATTCTGTGGGGATTCAATTGAAATTCTAGAAGATTCTCGTTAAAATTCCATTTGTTTTTTGCGCAGATTCTATTAGATATTTGATTGGAAAGACAACAGATTTAGATTTTTCTGTTTGAATTTTTCGCTTGAAAATTCCCTAGAATTTGAATAGAATTCCAATAGAATTTCTAGAGAATTCCAATTGACTGTTCCAGCGAATTCGCAAAGTTTTTGTATTGAATTTTTTCATGCCTGAACATGAGCAAATCATTTATTGTAATATGAAAATTTAACAGCTGATAAATTGGAACATATGATTCTCATCGATTGTATTGCTCTTTGCAATGAGAATGATTATAAACAATCAATTGAAAAAAGAAATATCGAATCCGACAGTTTTTAAAAATGTTCAAAAATACAAGGTGGTTGACCGGTATGGGAGCCGCCATTTTGCTTGAGTACGACGTCCCACTGCCGGAAGGGGCTTTCAAGATAGCGGCGCCTCCACCTCGTATTTTTAAACATTTCATAACATTATTTATCTTGTTCCGATCATATTCAACTCACTCCGACCGGTTTCTATAAAAAGAACAATTCTTTATAGCCAACTTTCAGATTTTGCCATTCCCCTGGGGCTGAAAATTCATGGCGCCAAGTTTCCCCCGCATTTCAGAAAGAAACAGGAATTTATGTTGGAATATGCGTTAATTACAGCACCAGTCTCAGCCGACGAGAACAAAGTACTGCACACAGTGCAAACAATTGGTCAATTATCCAGCAAGACTGCGAATCGCGTGTACCATTCAGTCGCGGCTCAGTTGAGGACACTGAAGAGAGAGGATGTGGCTGCATATATGCATAGTGTCGTTGCAATTCTCCATTTGACGAATTTCCTCAATGGAGGAAGGGGAGAGAGCCCCCCTGAAACACCCACCTCACCTGCAGAGGAGAAGAAGGACCAAGAGAAAAAATGAACGATGATCAATTTACCTAACTTAAGCACTCTGAGCAACATTTTCGTATAAAACTATAGACTGTACTAACAAAGTGTTTATGAAATTCATGTAATCCAATTTTCACATTTGCATTAAAAATATTTTTCTTTACCAATGGACAATTAATTTTTTTGATGCCTTATGTTAATTCAAAAACATAAAACACATAAATCAAGTTACGAACGCCGTTGGTCGCGCCGCACTTGCATAAATCGACGTAATGATGAATTTGAAAGATCTAGGAAAAATCTGAAAAAAAAATTGACAGAAAGAAAAGAAGATATTGCTTCCCTTCGAACTCAAAGCGATTGACCGTAAGCGGCGGTTATATTTTATTCATATCTGAAGGTTTTCCTCTGCATAAACTCTCTATTTATTCAATTTGAAATTCTCATATTCCTGATTCACTGAATCGAAGCTTTTATTATTTTTAGTCATTTTCTCATCTTCTGACACGAAAAAACCGATTTCTTAAGGGCTTCAATGAATCGATACTTGGAGACGTATGTTAAAGGCGTTATGCCAATCTCACTGCATTTGTCATGAATGGTTCGACATTTTTTACCGCTTTAACAATTCCACATATAAATTTCGAATTTGGGGGGGAGCATCTCACCTGCAGACGCACACATCTAAGCGTTGACCACGGACACAGAGGAAAAGATGATTGACGGGCGAACGAAACTCCCGTGCTGTCTCACTCGCTCCCTATTGTGTCACGTGTATATTTCGGATTAATTCCATCTATGGAATTGGGCTGTCTTGCGAATTGAGAAACACCTCAACGAGGGAGTCCAGTACCGATCGCCAAATGCTCAGGAGTGAACNCTTCATTTTCCCCAGCCTTCCCCTGTGTAGTCAACGTCTCATAAATATACTGTGATTGTTTTATAACTATCCCATTTGTTAGTGAATTGTTACATCCCTCAACCACGATTCCTACGGGCGGGGAGGGGCCGGTATCGATGTACTTTGGGTCCGATCCATGTTTCCGAGGCGACCCCTGGCGTGTATTTAAAGCTGAGCAGTTGAAATGTCGCCTAGTTGAAAAGACATAGATTCGAATTTTATCCTCTTACCCCCTGAAAAGGTGGACGACATTTCTGGGACACCTTGTATAATGATTGACAGAAACGATTTCTAAATCTCTCTCTCTCACCCCTAAAAGAGCCCCAAGGATCCCAATTCCTTTAAACGTTCCATTTTATTCACATAAGCCTAAATACACTAGTATTCACAAAGTAGCAAAGGAGAACAAGCATCCTCTCATTTTGAATACATTCTTCCTCCAAATAAATACAATTATATGTTTGACTTTGTAAAACCATAGGAAGCATACTCGTGATCTTGCTTGGTTTCAAAATTGGGCCACTCTGGATCATTCGGGAACAGCTTTTTCCTCGACATTCCGACTTTCCATCCTGATTTCTTCGTCCAGTCACTCTGATTGTACTTGAAGTAATACATGATACTCCAAACTCCGATCATGCTAAATGCAGCTGAGCTTATGAGATGACGAATTACGTAAGCGAATTCAGCGCCAAGTTTGGGACGGAGAGCGTCCTCAAAGGCTTTCAGTGGTGCACGGTAGAATCTTCTCAGAATGTTGTACCTCTGCCTGTAGTACTCGGGATTTTCCTTGGGCTCGTCTGGGGCTAGAACTTGATCCTTGAGCCACTGGGCACGCCAGGCACGTTCCTCAGGACTCATACCCAGAACACGCTCTCTCTCGGAGGTCATACGTCCAGTGATCGTAAAGCCCTTCACACCTCCTGTGTCGGACTGATTGGCCGCCGTCCCATCACCCAATGGAGTCGACATTTTCGATCGAGGGATTCGTCACTCCTGTTGATCATTTTTTTATTATTCGTCTTGGCTATGCGTTTTTCAAGCGATATTTTAGGATCAGAATAAGTCGAGAGATCTTGGTCGTGGGGCTGGTCACTCCGCAATCGGGTGGCTCAGTGATTTCCAGAATTTTATCTATTTCGTGCAATAATGACCAAATGTCGGTCCAACGGTATTGCGGACCAGCGCTAAGGATCTCTCAAAATTCTAATTTATTGCTTTAAAAACTGGAGAATTTTCTCGAATTTTCTGGAAAAATCTAAACTTTTCTAGAAAAATCTAAATTGGTCTAGAATTTCGATAGATGGCGCCAGTGCCAATAAGGAACCATAAGGATTTTTTCCCTAAATGCCAGATCCGATCAATTAACCCCTCATGTATAGATATTCCAAATTTTTATTTTTTTCCTCATTGAAGTAGTTTTGAAGAAAATTGCGAGCTAATAAAAAACATTTGCTAGTTAGTACTTTTTTTAAAATAAATTTTTGAAAAATCACCCCTGAAAAAAAGGCGTTATCCCCCCTATTTCATTATTTACAAAAAAATTTATCACCAATTTATCACTCCTATTATTGTGTGAATTAACAATTCCAATTTCAATTGAAAACCAGAGTTGATGACCAGAATTTGTAGCAGAGATGTCAGACAAGATATGAATGTTTTTTT